CGGAAGACAAACTCCTACCCCTTCTCTCTAGAGGAGACTCATGTTTTGGTATTTCCAGTTTATGGTTTATAAAAGATTAATACACAATGTTCTTCTATTTTTATATCTGCAAGAACCGAGAGTAGGAGACTCAGGAGCTATTTAGGATATTTCAGCTCTGCCTTCCACTTAGACTCAAGGACATTTGAAGGACCCAGTCTTCTGCAGTGAAGCCTGGAACATTGAGATGGCTGCCCACTTAAGTAAGCTACATGACTCACTAGGACCATGTGGCTTCTCTCACAGTCATCTTGACTTATTTTGTCACTGTTAACCTCAGAAACTTGTATTTATTATACAGACTAGTAATTTTAGCTGACAGATCATCTGTCATTTATCTTTATCATTGTTAGCATTCGAATCACAAAATTTTAGAGCCAGAAGGAAACTTCTGGGTTATCAGAGTTATTCTCCCTTAGTTTAGATAGGAAGAAACAGGCCAGGAGTGGTGGCTCACACCTGTAATCCCAACACTTTGGGAGGCAGAGGTGGGTGGATCATGAGGTCAGGACTTCAAGATCAGTCTGGCCAACATGGTGAAACCCTGTTTTTACTAAAATACAAAAATTAGCTGGGCATGGTAGCTTATGCCTATAATCCCAGCTACATGGGAGGCCGAGGCAGGAGAATTGCTTGAACCAGGACCCAGGAGGCAGAGATTGCAGTGAGCCGAGACTGAGCCACCAGGACCCAGGAGGCAGAGATTGCAGTGAGCTGAAATTGAGCCACTATACTCCAGCCTGGGTGACAAAGTGAGACTCTGTCTCAAAAAAAAAAAATAAGAGGAAACAGGCCAGGCTAGGAGTTGGTAGAGATACAGGTTCTCCCAATAAGGTGAGATTTATTTTTCCAAATCAGGCAGTATCAACCTCAGAGAGTCTAAACCTGGGTAAATTAGAGTTGCAGAGTTTCATAAAGAACAAGAACAGAGAATTTTTAGGTACATGATTCATGGTGTAGGCAAGGAGTGCTGAAAGGTAGAGAAAGGTAGTCTGTGCTACAACAATGCATGAAAACAAAGGGTTGTCCCAGGCCAGAAGCCAGCTGAGTTGCTGCACAACTTCCTCTTTGGGAGGAAGATCTTTCCTGCAGGACCTGACTGGCTGATTTCACCTGGTAAAGCAAGACTCTCAGATCTTCTTTCTGCCAGTGTTCTGAGTTGTTTCTAAATTTAAGAATGCTTCTTTGGACCTAGTGTATTTTTATTTTAAAAATGGTAATATGTGTATGTATATAGATATTCTATAGATTTCAAATTGGTAAAAATTCTTACCTCCTTTTTTTTTTTATTTTTTTGAGATGGAGTCTCTCTCTGTCACCCAGGCTGGAGTGCAGTTGCACAATCTCGGCTCACTGCAACCACCACCTCCTGGGTTCAAGCGCTTCTTCTGCCTCAGCCTCCTGAGTAGCTTGGACTACAGGTATGCCAGCACACCAACTAATTTTTTGCATTTTTAGTAGAGATGGGATTTCCCCATGTTAGTCAGGATGGTCTCCATCTCCTGACCTCGACCGTGATCTGCCCACCTCGACTTCCCAAAGTGCTGGGATTACAGGCATCAGCCAACATGCCCGGACACCTCCTATCTCTTAAAATTTCTTACCTGTCCTTCCATAAAAGTTAGTGCTTTAATTTCATTCTATTGCTATTCATCCATTTGTTTGCATTTTCTTCATTCTTTTATTCATTTCATATTTCTTGAATATTTGCCTTATATGATGCACATTTTATGTGCTTGATGAGCTAGAAGGATGTGTAGAAGGTATGCTCCCTGTTCAGAAGGATTTCATGGTTTAGCATGTCAGACATACATGCAAATAAATTCCAATACCACAAGAATGACAGAGCCACTGATGGAGCATAGAACAGGGTGCTACCTTTTGGAGAAACTGAACATCAGAGATGAAGAATGAAAGAATCTTGTCAGACATAAAGAAGAAAGATCCTTTCTTGCAAGTAATGGCATGTATAAAGAATGTGTTTGGGTAATAATGCATGGGTTAATGTGGGCAGAATAAAGAGAAGGACCTAACAGCCTAATTATTAGAAGTTGTTTAACTAGTTTGAGTTTCTGGAAAAAGAAAGTCTAAGACTTCTAGCTTAGGAAACAGTGTGAATAAATAGTGCATACAGTAGAAACATCTCTGAGCTAGCCCAAGGATATAGCATAGAGTTCAATTTGGGACATATGAGAATATAAAATTCATGAGGTCATCTGTAGAGGTCAATTATTGTTCCACTTTTTCCGTAGTTAAACATTTTTACCATCATTGGTAGTCTTCCTTTGTATACTTAACAATCAGGTGATAAAAGAATAGGTCAATACAGTGACAGATACTAAGTTGTTAAAAAGATAATGGCCTTGTTTCATTTTGAGACTGGAAAGCTGCACACTGCTTCTACAAATCTACTGTACTTATTTTCTTAAGCTAGGGGCCTTATTTAGAAGCATGGTCTTGCTTTCCAGTATTGTTCTTTTTTTTGGGAAATGGAGTTTCATTCTGTCTCACAGGCTGGAGTGCAGTAGCCTGATTTCAGCTCTCTGCAACCTCTGTCTCCCAGTTTCAAGCAATTCTCCTGCCTCAGCCTCCCCAGTGACTGGGGCCACAGGTGCATGCGACCACACCTGGCTAATTTTTTGTATTATTAGTAGAGATGGGGTTTCACCATGTTAGCCAGGATGGTCTCAATCTCATGATCTTGTGATTCACCTGCCTTGGCCTCCCAAAGTGCTGTAATTACAGGCATGAGCCACTAATTCTGTCTGTGTTGTTCATTTTTAAAAGTAATTCAAGCAATTACAGCACATAACTTTATCTATCTATCTATCTATTTATTTATTTATTTTTTGAGATGGAGTTTCACTCTTGTTACCCAGGCTGGAGTGCAATGGCTTGATCTCAGCTCACCACAACCTCCGCCTCCTGGGTTCAGGCAATTCTCCTGCCTCAGCCTCCTAAGTAGCTGGGATTACAGGCAAGTGCCACCATGCCCAGCTAATTTTTTGTATTTTTAGTAGAGACGGGGTTTCACCATGTTGACCAGGATGGTCTCGATCTCTTGACCTTGTGATCCACCCACCTCGGCCTCCCAAAGTGCTGGGATTACAGACTTGAGCCACTGCACCCAGCCCTTATTTATTTTTATTTTAAAGATGGGGTTTCATCATGTTGGCCAGGCTGGTCTTCAACTCCTGACCTCAGGTGATCCACCCACCTCAGCCTCCCAAAGTGTTAGGATTACAGGCGTGAGCCACTGTGCCCAGCGTAACTTAAAAATATTAGTTATTAAAATAATTGACATTAGAATAGATGCAGACAGATGGGACCTGAACAAGGTTGAAAGAGATTAATGTTAAAAAAAAATCAGATCATATAAACAGGGAAGTAAAGCCATTGTTTAAAAAGTAGTTTAATTACATCAATAAATTTGGTTTTTTGCTTATTTGGTGCAACTGTCTATAAATCTATAGATGTATTACATAATCTATTATAAACTATCATGTAGTTTTGAAATAGAATAATACAATATATTTCTTTTCTTTTTCCCTAAACTTTTTATTTTTTTGAGACAGGGGCTAGCTCTGTTGCCTAGGCTAGAGTGTAAAAGTGCAGTTATGGCTCACTGCAGCCTCAATTTCCCAAGCATAGATGATCCTCCCACCTCAGCCTCCCAAGTAGTGGGACTACAGGTGCATGCCACCATGCCTGGCTAATTTTTGGTGGGGTTTTTTTTTTTTAGAGACAGTTTTGCTATGTTGCCCAGGCTGGTCTTGAACTCCTGGATTCAAATAAACCTTCCCCCTGGACCTCTTGACCTCTCAGAGTGCTAGAATTACAGTTGTGGACCACTGTGTCCAGCCTCTCTTTTCTCAGTATTTTTGTACTTTCAGTAGAGATGGGATTTCACCATGTTGGCCAGGCTGGTCTCAAACTCCTGACCTCAGGTGATCCACCTGTCTTGGCCTTTCAAAGTGCTAGGATTACAGGCTTGAGGCACTGCATCTGGCCAAAATGTTATTTTTTTTTAATCTGATATTTTCATCACATGATTTCCTTTGGCTTTCTTCCTTCTCATGAAATATTGTACATTTGTTCATCAAAAATATCCTTTTTCTTTTTTGAGACGAAGTCTTGCTTTGTTGCCTAGGCTGGAGTGTAATAATGTGATCCTGACTCACTGCAACCTCCCCCTCCTGGATTCAAGCAAATCTCCTGCCTCAGCCTCCTGAGTAGCTGGGATTACAGGTGCATGCCACCACACCTGGATAAGTTTTGTATTTTTAGTAGAGATGGTGTTTCACCATGTTGGCCAGGCTGGTCTCAAACTCCTTACTTCAGGTGATCCACCCACCTTGGCCTCCCCAGGTGCTGGGTTTACAGGCCTGAGTCACTGCACCCAGGCAAAAATATATTAGGTTAATTTAGATTAGAATACTCTAAGGGTTATTGCCGAGTTTAAAATGAGGAAACTGAGGCCAATATAAGAAAATTAAATGCCAATTTATTCAGCTCCCAGGTGAGGTTCTATGGTCCGGGGAAAGGGGGCCAGAGAAGTTGTGCTGACTTCCTGGGGCATGGGGTTTTATGGCCATGAGGAATGAACAAGAGCTGGGTGCTCTTATTGGCTCCAGGGGAGCAGGATTGAGACGGGGTGGGCCACTATTGGTTGGCGGGTTGTTGGGTGGGTTTTCTGGTGTGAGAGCCAGCCCGGGTTGTATCAGCCAGAGCCTTCCAGGGGAGCCATGTGGCAGAGCTAGGCGTCGAGTGCAGAGCCTGGTGCTGGGAGCAGAGTCAGGTGCTGAGTGCAGAGGTGGGTGTGTCAGGCCTCCCGGCGAGGCAACTGGCCTTACATTCTGACCCTTTTGATGATATAGGGCACTGCTTGTTTCTGGCTATTTCCTGCTTAGTAGGGGCGGAGTGAGGGAGAAGGGTCTGTTGGCTGGTGCCTTGGTTGGGAGTCAGAGGTAGGGATGAAGCAGCATCTGGTTTACAGCCACCCTGGAAATTTTTCTCATGTGGGCCTGTAAAAACCTGAGGAAAAAAGGGGCTAGGATTAACAGAAGACAAACTACGTTGATGGGAGTGATAATAGGGGTTAGACAGGTTAGCATGGGGGATTGCCACCAGTTAAGAGGTGAGACGGATGCATTCTGCTTCTTGCAGAGGTCCTCTTGGAGGCAATAGAGAGTGTTGACATTTTCTTCTACAAGGCCTGTTTCAGTGATGTAATAGCAGCACTGCTCCTGATGAAACAGACAGTTACCTCCCTTTTCTGCTGTCAGCAGGTCAAGGGCCTGTTGGTTCTGGAGAGTTACCTGGGCCAGTGATGTGATTTGTCCCTTGAGGGAGGCCAGGGAGGCAGCTGATGCTTCGATAGCCACGCAAAGCTTGTTTTTTAGTTGAATGGCTGAGGTGACACTGTAGCGTAGGGCACTGCTACCCAGCTGAAGACACCAGAGGTCCATCGGTTGTTCTAACGGTCCTGAATTGTGAATTGAAGGGTTCCATTGGGCCAGAGGGTCAGAAGACTGTCTGGAGAGGGTGAGGGTCATGGCCTGTGGATTTTGCATTAGTAATAGGGACATCCTCCATAGGTGGTGTTCCAACAGTGACAGTAGTCATGGAGCTGGTCATAGAGGAAGCACAGACCCAGCTGATAATGTGGAGCTTCTTTAAGAACACCACTTTTAGAGGTTGGGATGGTGATGGTTGTGGGTGCCTGACAGCCTGTTGTTGAGCAGTCACCCTGTGCTAGATATTGAGTGTGGGTGGACACACCATCTACCCATGACTTTTGAACATAAAAGTGCCACATGTATGAGCTGGTTTCAAGAGGGGATATCAGAAGGACTGTCAGGAGGAGGCTCTGAAGGATTAGGGGGTGACAGGTCAGGGCAATGGGTGAGGTGGAGGTGAGTGGGGCCCAGGGGTTTGGATTTCCACTGATTGTTTTGGGGTGCCAGCTTGAGGTGGGACACATGGTACCACGGAGTGTGACCCAGGAGTTCGGCCACTGTGGGGGTGGTTAGGATAACAATGTGAAGTCCCAACCACCTGGGCTGCAAAGATTCTTGTTTGAGCTCCTGGAGGAGAACACTGTCACCTGGTTGGAGAGGTGTTGCTGAGTGGGGGTCCTCCAGTCCCGGAACAACAGGGAGGGTGCAGTCCGTATGCTCCCTAAGCAAGTGGTGGAGAAGGGAGAGGAAGGGAAGGTAGGAAGCCAGTTTGGGGGGTTTTACAGGGAGATTATGAGACACCAGAAAAGGCTGGCCATACAGCAAGTCAAAGGGACTAAGGCCCGTTGGCCCCCATGGAGTGGCCCGGACCCGGGCCAGGGTAAGAGGTAGGAGTGTGGGCCAAGAGATTTTACCTCAATAGCAAGTTTGGCTAAATGGTCTTTGAGGATGCCGTGGGCCCATTCAACTTTACCCAATGACTGAGGGTGGTAAGGGATGTGTAGTTTCCAGGAGATGTTGAGGGACTTGGCAACTAGCTGGACTACTTGGGCCATAAATGCTGGACCATTGTCTGACTGGATGGTGGCAGGTAGGCTGAAGCAAGGGATGATTTCTTGAGTAAGAAGGGAGGACACCATGTCTGCTGCCTCCCGGGAGGTGGAGAAGGCTTCAATCCAACCTGAAAAGGTATCTACAAAAGTTAGGAGGTAGCAGAGCTTTTTGTGAGTGGGCATATGAGTGAAGTCAATTTGCCAGTCTTGGGCTGGCAGGTTGCCCTGCAGTTGGTGAGTAGGAAACTGTGGCCTTAAGCCTCCCTGAGGTGAGGCCTTAGAGCAAGTAACACATGCCTTGTGCACCTGCTCAATTGTTTGTTGCAGACCTGGTGAGAAAAAGAGGGGCTGTACAAAGCAGTGTAATGCCTTAGGCCCTATATGTAAGGATTGGTGGATTTCAGCAGTAATTTTAGGGGCCTGTTCCCAAGGAAGGGTGATTCTGTTATTTAGGAAGATCCAGAACTGATTAGATTCTGTTCCCCACTTTTGTATAAGGGCCTGCTTTTCTGATGGTAAATATACAGGCTGTGTGGCCATGGTAAGGAAGAGAACAGGGGTAGGGGTCAACTTGACGTTAGTTAAAGATCTTGCTGCTGTGTCTGTGTGCACATTGCCCCAGGAGATGGCATACTCGGCAGTGTATGACTGCAACCTCCCTGGGCAATGATAAGGCCTGGAAAAGTTTGGAGATCTGTGTAGCATTGATTATGGGGGACCCTTTTATGGTAAGGAATCCCTGCTCTCTCCAGAGGGCAGAGTGGCAATGGGTAATAAAAAAAGCATATTGTGAGTCAGTATACATATTTGCTCACTTTCCCTGTGCTAGGGTGAGAGCTCGGGTTAGGACAATGAGCTCTGCCTTTTGTGACATGGTTTCGTCAGGGATGCAACGTGCCTTGGGGGTGGCGAATCTGTGACTACTGCATAGGCTGCCTTTTGCCTCCCGTTGGCTGTTATTACTGAACTTCCATCCACATAGAAAGTAAGGTCTGGGTTAGGCAGGGGAAGGTCGGATCGGCCCTCCCAAGGTTTAGCAAGTGCATCCACTAGTTCAGGGCAGGAGTGGGCTGGGGAAGGGGAAGGAGACAGAAGAGGAAGCAGGGTAGCTGGGTTGAGTGGGGAAATAGGGTGAAGGCTGACTGAAGGATTTTCAATGAAGAGCAGGTGGAACTCCTGTAGATGAGAGGGCACTGGGTGAATGAGGGATGTGTGAGAGAGGAGGTTGGTAAGCCATTGAGGAGAGAACACTGAGATGGACTGGCCCAGGGTCAGTTTTAGGGATTCATTGGTAAGTTCTGTTGCTGCTCCCAGGGCCCCCAGGCAAGGCTGCCACTCCCTGGCCATGGGGTCAAGTTGCTTTGATAGGTAGGCTACAGGGCTGAACACAGGACCCAGGGGTTGGGTTAGAACCCTGACAACAATGCCCTGTTTTTCATCAGTGAACAGATAAAAGGGGCAATTGAGGTCTAGCAGATGAAGTTTGGGTGTGGTGGATAGAGCAGTTTGGAGGGTTTTAAAAGCCTGTTTTACAACCTCAGGATGGGAGAGAGGTCCCGTGGGGGTGTCCTTAGCCACCATGTACAGAGGTTTAGCTAGAGAGGCAAAGTTAGGTATCCAGTGGCAGAAGAATTCTACAAATTCTAAAAAAGAGAGAATCTGGTCGGCAATCTCCGGGGGCTGCGGTGAAAGAAGTGCCTTCCGGTGATCTGTGTTTAGGCTTTTAGTTTTGGGGGTGAGGCGAATGCCCAAGTAGACCACCGAGGTGACTGATAACTGTGCTCTGGAGGGAGATACTCGGTATCCCTGAGATCCGAGAAAGTTAAGGAGAGTGACAGTATGCTGTTGGGATAGGGAGAGGGAGGAGCTACAAAGTAACAGGCCATCTACGTGCTGGAGAAGGAGACTGGGTTGAAGGCGGCCTGCCAAGTTCGACTGTCAAGACTTGTCCAAAAATGTGAGGGCTGTCTCAGAACCCCTGGGTCAGGACTGTCCAGGTAAGCTGTTGTGACAGGTTGGTGTCAGGATCAGTCCAGGTGAAGGCAAAGAGAAAGTGGGATGCAGGGTGAAGGGGAATGGTAAAGAAGGAGTCCTTGAGGTCAAGAACTATAAAATGAGAGGTAGTGGAGGGAATGTTTGATAATAGGGTATATGGGTTGGGGACTACAGGGTGGAGGGGTACCACCAGCTCATTAATAAGGTACAGGTCCTGAACCAGGTGGTAGCTGCCGGACGGCTTTTGGACCAGCAAGATAGGAGTGTTACAAGGGGAACTGGTGGGAATAAGTAGTTCCTGGGCTAGCAGGTGGGTGATTATAGGCTTCAGGCCTTGACGGTGGGCCTTCGAGATGGGGAACTGAGGACATGAAGGAAAGTGGGTAGGATTTTTTAGAAGTATCTTAACCGGGGGATGATGTTTGGCCACTACAGGCTTGGAGGTATCCCATACCAGGGGATTAACTATGTCAGGAGGGATAGGGGGTTGGGATGAGGAGTTAAGACAGGGTGTGGTGTAGGTTAGGAGTGGCAGTAGGAGGTGGGCGGATGATGGGCTTGAATGTGGGGGGCCAGTGAGTTGGAGAGTTGCCCCCACAGTCTGGAGAATGTCTCTACCTAAAAGGGGGACTGGGCATGAGGGTATAATTTAAAAAGAGTGGGAAAAGGGGTGTCCCTCAAGGACACAGGCTAAAGGATGGGTTTGATTAGGACAGGAAGGCTTTCTGTCAATTTCCATGACTGAAACCTGGGAAGGTATGCTAGGTCCTGAGTAGGAAGGCAATACAGAATAGGTAGCCCCCATGTCCACTAAGAAGGAAATGGACTTACCTGCTACCTGCAGCATTACCCTGGGTTCGGCAAGGGTGATGGGGGTCTTCAAGTCTGGGCTGTGTCAGTCGTCCAGAAGGCCGAGAAGTTCAAGCAATGGGATTGCTTCCTGTGGACCAGCCTGCCCTCCACATAGAGGTGTGGGGGGTGGGCCTGTAGGTCAGGATGGGCAATCACTGTGCCAATGTCCAAGCTGCTTGCAGTCCAGGCTTGGTAGGTGGTTGGGGACATGGACACTGACATGCACAGTGTCCCTCCTGAATGCACTAGAAACAGGGCCCAGGCCCCTCCACCAGGCACCCGGTGGGCTGCCGACCTCAGGGCTGCCACAGAGCTTGGGTTTGGAGGCTTACCTTTTGTTGTAGACAGGCCTGGAAGGTGGCCTCAGCCTTTTCCTCTTGGCCATTAAAAACTTCAAATGCCATGTTTACCAGGTCTCATATGGGAGTTTGGGGGCCTTCATCAGCCTTTTTAAGTTTCTTTCTAATGTCAGCCACTGACTGAGAGAAGAAACGGGTGGCTAGGACTGTAGACCCCAGTCTAGAGGCCAGGTCCAGCTGGGTATGAAGGATCATAGCATTAGTTAATCAGTTGAGGAAGGCGGTGGGGTTTTCAATAGGACCCTGAGTTATTTCCCTTAACTTATCATAATTAACTACCTTTTGGGCTGTGTTTTGCATGCCCACTAGGAGGCACTGTAGCATTTGGTCTTGGCAGTGTTGGCCATCTTGACCAGTTTGATAGTTGCAATTAGGGTCAGCCTCGGGGACCGCGGCCACACCTACTGGCATTTGATTGTCTGTGAGATGTACCTGATCAGCGTGCACCCGGGCCACCATAAGGATGTGGTCACACTCATCTGGAGTGAGGGTGGACAGAATCACATAGGTATCATGCCAGCTGAGGTCATAAGCCTGGGTGAGGTAGCAGAATTCTATGGTGTAAGCAGTAGGATTGGTGGAAAATAACCCTAGGCGTTTCTCAGTGGCTGATAGATCAGAGAGGGAGAAGGGAACATGTACACAAACATCACCTTCTGCTCCGGCAACCTTACAAAGGGGCAAAGGGGGAGGTTTCATCATTAGGAGCACAGCACGAGTGGGTATGAGCACTGACAGGAGAGGCTAGGTTGGGACTAGGAAGAGGAGGAGCTGGAGGGGGTTGAGGTTCTGCATATGGTAGAGAGTTTGTAGGTTGGGCGGGTGGAAAGGACTGTTCTTCAGGTGGGTCAGGGTTGGAAAAGGAGGAGGATGGTGGAGGGGCCGAGGGCAGTGAGGGAGTTTCTTTGGCCAGGAGCAAGAGTGGGGCCTGAACGTAGGGGACCTCTGACCATTTACCATTTCTTTGACAGCAATTGTCTAAATTGGTTAGAATATCAAGATTAAAAGTTCCCTCTGGTGGCCACTTGAACTGATTGTCCAGAGGATACTGGGGCCAGCCCACAGTGGAGAGGAAAAGCAGCCTTTTCTTTTTCATGGAGAGGCCCAGCTTGGGTAAATTTTGGACTAGACATCCCAATGGCGACTTGGGGTCTAGGTGGGACTCCTGATTACCCATAGTCTACTCTCTGTCGCAAAGTAGTCAGGAGTAAGGAATGGCGTCCCAGACCTCAACACCTGAGTACCGGAGATTACGGGGATGGACAGGAGTATAGGGACGTCCCCACAATATTCCTGTCTTCCGGGACAGGCGAGCAGGGGTACGGGATGTCCCCATGAGATCCACAGCTTGAGATGGAAAGGAGTCCCTGATGTGGCAGCGATTACGGACAGGGTACCCCAAGGTTTGGAGCAAACAGAGGATGGGGTTATGGGCAATAGGAGTCTTACCGAGTGATGGCTGCAGATGATCAGAGGGGTGGTGGCTCCCTGGTTCAGCTTATGGTAGAGGAGTGTTTCCCCCAGGAGGGGTCTTGAACTCCTCTTGGCACCACTTGTAAGGGTTATTGCTGAGTTTAAAATGAGGAAACTGAGGCCAGTATAAGAAAATTAAATGCCAATGTATTCAGCTCCCAAGCGAGGTTCTATGGTTTGGGGAAAGGGGGCCAGAGAAGTTGCACTGACTTCCTGGGGCGTGGGGTTTTTATGGCTATGAGGAATGAACAACAGCTGCATGCTCTGATTGGCTCCAGGGGAGCGGAATTGAGACAGGGCAGGCCGCTATCAGTTGACAGGTTGGGTGGGTTATCCAGTGTGAAAGCCTACCAGGGTTGCTTGCATCAACTGGAGCCTTCCAGGGAGCCATGCGGTGGAGCTAGCTGCCGAGTGCAGAGCCTGGTGCCAGGTACAGAAGTCAGGTGCTGAGTGCAGAGGTGGGTATGTCAGGCCTCCCAGTGAGGCAACCGGCCTTACAAATACAAAGATGGGTACTTTGGAAAAAATCATAGAACTTGACTCTAAGGCAAACTACTACACAATAAAATGAAATTGTAGTCTGACCAACATTCTTAGCAGGATCCTCCAGGATCTGGTTTCAGCACACCCACAAGCCCCCTTCATTGGCCTATCTTCTTGATCAACTCCAGACACATTAAACTGCTTTCAGTTCTTACAGCTTATCAAGTTTCATACCAACATAGATCCTGGGTTTTGCAATTGCTTTTCATGAAAGATTCTTTCTCCATAACTTTGCTTAACTCCTATTTGTCCTCTACCTTTCAATTAAAGGACATTTTCTTGGGGAAGCCTTTCCTGATATCCTAAATTATGTAAGGTTCCCTGTGAAATACTCTCAACATCACATCCCATATTTTTCCTTTATAACATTAAAAGATTATAATTAATGATCTGTGTAATTTCCAGTTTAATATGTATCTTCCTGATCTGTAAGCAATTTTGAGGACAGTCAGCAATTGTTAAATAGATAAATGAGAAACATGAAGGTGTTGTACCTATGGAGACCCTTTCTTGCTCTAATGATTGATTACTATAGGGACTGCTCATGTCCAGGAGCAAATGACACTAGATATCTTCATGATAGGATTTTTTAACAAAAGACTTTCCAGAAAAGAGTACAACCTCTTCAGCCTCCCTTGTTAAGGGTGGGTTAGAGACTGGGAAAGAGATTGCTTTCTTGATGTACCAGTGAAAATTCCTCTATCACCTCTCCCTTCTCATAGGAAGACTAGCGTGTCTCCTCCTCTGCAATCCACTTTATGCTCAAGTCAGATGCTGGCTGAGTTGTAGGATCTACTGTTTCACCCTGTGCTTCTGGAGTGTGGAGAAATATCTTTAAAATAAGTTGTCTAGTGGATGCATACAAGGGGCAATCAAAAATAAAAAACTAGAATAAAAATGTTTAAAAAGCAACAGTAATGAATGAGATTTTTTTTGGTGAAAGAAAAGAGAAAACTGAAAGCTGTAGGCCACCTACATTTAAGGGGCCATCAGAGGATGGTAAAAAGCACCCTGAATGGGAGCAACCAAAGTTAGAGAAAGAAAACAGATTTCAGGGGATGGGGGTCAAGAAAAGAGAATCTTTCAAGATGCAAATTCAGTGCCTTCAGTGCTGCAGAAGAAGTTGATAATGATTTTATAACTTTCAAAATTACTACAAACAAGGAGATCATGGATAACCTGGGGGTTACTTATTATTTATTTATTTAATTTTATTAATTTATTATTTAGATCATATAAGAAATTTTAAATTAACTTAGAAAACAGTCTGGGTGGTGTAGCTCATGCCTGTAATCCCAGCACTTTGAGGGGCTGAGATAGGAGGATCACCTGAAGTCAGGAGTTTGAGATCAACCTGGCCAACATGGTGAAATCCCATCTCTATAAAAAAATACAAAAATTAGCCAGGTGTGGTGGTGGGCACCTGTAATCCTAGCTACTCAGTAGGTCACAAAGACCTTGCTGATAAAACAGCATGTGGTAAAGAAGCCAACCACATCCCACCAAAATCAAGATGGAGAGGAATTGACCTCTGGTCATCCTTACTGCTTATTATGTGCTAATTATAATGTATGAGAATGCTAAAAGACACTCCCACCAGCCCCATGACAGCTAGCAAATTCCATAGCAATGTCAGGAAGTTACCCTATATGGCCTAAAATTGTCCACCCTTTTCCCAGAAAACTCATGAGTAATCCACACTTTGTTTGGCATATAATCAAGAAGTAACAATAAGTATAGGCAGCTGAGAAGCTCATGCCACTCCTCTGCCTATGGAACAGCCATTCTTTTATTCCTTTATGAGATGTTGACCACCACCTGTAGTGATCTGGGCTGCTGACCCTGACTCAAGGAAGGATGAATAAATGCACTCTCATACCATTACAGTGATTCAAGTTGACTACCTATAGTTGTTGGCTGCTTTCAGAGGGTGAAAAGCAACCAATCAACAAAGACTCCCTCTCCATTACTGCATTTATTCAGTCAGATTTTACAACAGAGGTTCTAAGTAAACACACTTGTGGATAATTAACAGGGTTAAAAGAATAGTTTTACGACTGATAAAGCTTTAGGTTCTGGGCCCAGAGTAAATACTATTAACAGGCAATTCTGCTTTGATTTCCTACTGAAAGGGACACCTCACACAACATTTACATGAGCAAACAGAGTAGAAACAAAGGGATGTGGAGTAAACAGACTTAAACTAGGAAAGCCTCTTATCATCTCTCTTTCCTGTGCTAATGTAAATGAGGTGGCTACCTTCAGCTTGCTCCAGTAAAACATTTTGGCCTTCCAAAAGGTTTGAGACTAATCTATAACTTTTCCTAATTTTTTGGTAATATTTTGCCAGCCACTCCACGTGAATTTCAACACCTTTACTTTCTTAATAAACTTTCTTTCACTTTACTCTATGGACATGCCCTGAATTCTTTTTTGTGTGAGGTCCAAGAACTTTTTTAAGGCCTGGACTGGGACCTCTTTCTGGTAACACTTTCACAAAAAGTTTTACTATTTTCAAGCAACTTTTTTTCCAGACATGATCTTGCAAATGCTTATAGCATAACTTTCCAAATTGCTCTGTTGGATTGGATGAAAACAAAACCAAAACCAAAGTAAACATTCTCAATATTCAAAAGTTACTAGGGAGAGGAAGATCCAAGATGGCCTTTTAGGAGCAGCTAATGATTGCAGTTCCTAGTGAAAGTGCAGAGGGTGAGTGGACACCACATTTCCAGATGAATCTTCATTGCCCACAGACCAGGAGATTCCCAGGTGGAAGAGCCCCACAGCACAGCTGTTTTGGCCAGTGCAGAGGTTTTGCCAGCACTCCAGTGCAGCAGTTCTCAATACAAAATACACTGGTTTGGTTACCCTTTTAAGCTGGTGATTGGAGCTCCAGGAAGGCAGAGTTACCCATTCATCTGATTAAACAAAGGACTGAAACAGGGAGCCAGACCAGGAGACTCCCAGGCAAAAAAGCGCCATGAATCTCAGCACCATTGTTCAACTGGCGCAGTGGGTCGCCGCACGAGAAATCACACAGGTCCTGGTGCCTTTTCAGCAGGCGACTGGAGCACCTGGGAGAGAGTCAACCATTCAACTTAAAAAAAAAAAGGCTCATAGGCAGAAAGCCAGGTGAGCAGGCTCGGCGGGTCCCACCCCCCCCCCCCCACCACACACAAAACAGCTATTGGAAATGCTCTGGGTTGAGAGTTTCACGGCAAGCACAGCTGAACCCAGGATGCTCCAGCTCTGTGGGGGAGGGCCGTCTGCCATTACCGAGGCACTCCACCCCTACGGAGGTAGTCTGTCATTGCTGAGGCAGCCCACTGTTGCCAAGGCAACCCGCCATTACAGAGAGAGTCTGCCATTACAGAGGTGGGTCACCATTGCCGAGGCAGTTCTAACCACACCCATATAAACAGGACTGCAGGGAAGTTCACAAGGCACCAAGGTGGAGCCCACA